GTAGTTTATTAATGAAATGTAAAAACCCTGTAAATTTTTCAGAGGGCAGTTTGATTCTCATCCAAAACACACCGGAGGGTACTAGCTTAATCACTGGCACGTTAGGTGACCCGGGTCTACACTGTCCTTCACAGTTCTCTGCCAAGTTGGGATACATCATGGCACTGTCTTGAGACATGTGAATAATAAAATGTAACATAGTTTACAAATGAAAATACTTTATGTTGAGCTCCTTCTAGTTGTAAATCTTCTCAAGTCAACAATATTCATTAAAAAATTTCAAATCTAGCTAAATTAAGGAGATGCGACTTAGTAAAAAGTAACAACATAAAATTCTATCATGCTGATCACGATTTTACAGAAAAGCTATTATTTTTCTAAAATGGAAAAAATACAAATTTTTGTTTATCTTAGAATCAAGGGCTAGATTCATTTAATAAATTATCTTGATTCTACTCAAAACTCTGAGAAAAATGAAAGCTCAGAGTTTCTGAAGTCCCACTTCCTTTCAAACCAACCCCACTATCTCCCTGAAGCCATTTTTGACAATGACAGTGCCTGTGAATGTGATTTGTAAACTTTAGACAACACACAAAAGTTAACTGCTGTCACTAATCATATTACCATCCTTCAAATTGTGACGGCTACTCTTTCCAGTATTTCCCATAGGTTTCCAACTGAACATACTGCTTTTTCCTGTGGTGCTTGTTTTATCAATTGATTATGTGTATTTTAGTATTCTTTTGTACATTGCCTTTGAACTTGACCTTAAATATTTTGTCCATAGCGTATCCCTTGAAGTAGTTACATGTCAAAGATGTTTAAAGTATCCTGTAGGAAAACAGAATTGGCACTCCAATAAACATTTATTAAGGTATTTGGTTGGGCATGGTGGCTCATACCTGTAATCCTAGCACTTTGGGAGGCTGAGGCAGGTGGATTACCTGAGATCTTGAGTTCAAGACCAGCCTGGCCAAAATGGTGACACCCTGTCTCTACTAAAAATACAAAAACTAGCTGGGCGTGGTGGCAGGCACCGGTAATCCCAGTTAGGAGGCTGAGACAAGAGAATCACTTGTCCCCAGGGCTGGAGTTGCAGGGTGGGGGTGGGCGGGAGTTTGCAGTGAGCCAAGATAGCACTGCTGCACTCCAGCCTGGACAACAGAGCAAGACTCTGTCTCCAAAACAAACAAACAAACAAATAAATAAATAAAAAGTTATTAAAGCAGTGCATGAAATCTGCTTTAACTCCTATTCTAGTACAACAACAACAAAAACCCTGAGAACGACTTCCACCACAATTAGTTCAAAATGTTACTTTCCTTTGGCCCAACTGTATGTAATCCGTTATTACTTTTACATCTATGTCTGAGCCTGAGTGTGGGTTTTCAGTATAATCGAAGGAAAGACCACCTTTGCCAAAAGGACACATTTCAAAGTTCTTTTATCCCTGTGAACCATATTCTCCAATCACCTACCCTAAACATTTTAAATGGGAATTTTTGAAGTATTAAATATTTATGACCGTGTTTTCTTTTCCCAATTTATATGGAGTACTGGAGCTTGTGGCCATAATATTCTAATGCAAAATATGGATCAACTTTCAGTCTGAAAGTTAATACACTGATTTTACCACCTGCAAAAGATATGCACATTTGCATAAAAGCTACCAGAAGTGAAGCGAATACAATTTAATAGCTCATGTGGTTATTTCTTCTTTCTTTTAAAACCCAGAAGGGAAGTGGGTTTGTACAGCCCTAATTGTGTTATTGCTTCTTAGGTTTTCTCTAGATGCTCTTCCAACTCTTCTTTTGAGCAGATATCATGAAAAGCCCCAGATGAGTAGCAGTATTGATTTGAATGAAAGGCTAATCCCACTTGCCCTTTTTTTAATTGATTAAAACCATGACGATCAGGATGAGTCTCACTGAAGCGTGCCTTATGATAAAGTGAACTACGGTGCATGGAGTCACACTTGATGCTCAGGGATCTCATGTGAGGAGGAAAGCGAGCACCTTTCCTTAGCCTGGAGAAAATGAGGTGTCGGTGGGTCCAGGCAGGGCTCATCGGCCAGTGTGAGTGACGAAACAGATGTCCGATTTTCCAAATGAAGTCAAGATTCGGGTCAACTGTGGGGCGAAAGCGCAAGGGTCCCATTGGTGGTTCAGGACGTGAGGTGAGGGTTTGGAATAGCCACGGTGCTGACCTGGGACAGGGGCAGTGTTGCTGGGGGTGTGGAATTGGCCCCACTCCACACGGCTGCGTGCTGTGTTCCGTCCGCAGCCAGGCTGTGCAGCAGGGGTTCTCACGGGAGCGCTGGCTTCAGTTACCCCAGATTATGCACCAGCAGAAGGAGCCTGGCCAAGGCTATGTCGAGAAGGTGCTCGGAGGAGCTGGCCAGGCGGCTCAGGAGAGGGAGTGTGCCGGGCAGGCTGGGTGCCTGGGGAGGGAGCGCCTGCTTCTGCCTGGCCCGCTGCAGCAAAGCACCACAAGCTGGGTGGCTTCCAGGACACACGTTTCCTCCCTCACGGTGCTGGGGGCCGGCAGTACGGATCAGGGTGTCAGCCAGATGGGCTTCTCACGGCGCCTCTCTCCTCGGCGGTGACAGGGTCGTCCCTCAGTCCCTGGGTTGTTATCTCTCTCTATAAGGACCGGGCCCACCCACGTGGCTTCAGTTCACCCTGATTACTTCAGAGACACTTCTCCAAATCCAGTCGCATTTTCCTGAGGAGCTGGCAGTCAGGGCTTCCCACATAGGACTCCTAGCAGCGGGGAGGACACCGTTCAGGCGGAAGAAGGCAGGTGCCCTGCAGGGACCAGAACTGCTGGGGGCGACATCGCTGGAGGAAGAGGAAGCTGTGGCTTAGAGCGGGGAGCAAGGCGTCTCCCGAGAGAGAAGGGACTTGAGTGTGAGTTGAAATGGCCTCTTCTGCGTTGCTCTCACCTGAGGGCAGGAATCCGCTTTCTGCACCCCTGGTTGCCTGTTCCCCCCCCTCCCCGTCCCACACCTCAGACCGGAGCATTAAACTGGAGGAGATCGAGGGTCATGTGCCCGCAATTCTCCCCAGGCACCACCAGAGGGCGAGCCTCCAATTTTTGGCAACGACCCAGAATCCCCTGCTCCCGCTGGGGTCAGGGAGGCCCCTACATGTCTCTCAAGGACTCACCCGGCTCTGTTGTGCCACACAGGCCACTGCCACAGGGTTCACCCTGATTTTATTCTAATTCTGCTTCTGATGGCTTGACAAGCCTGGCAGCCGATAAAAACAGCCCTCAAGTGGCCCAGCCTCCCGCAACCTTGCACTGCCGGGCAGTCTCATTTGCTGTCTGTTACACGCAGTCCACGTGTCTGCGTTTATCTCCACTGCCCCAAAACCAGCTCTCAGCCTCCTCCTGATCGTCTGCAGGGTTGCTCCAGTGCCCACCTCTTGTATCGCTTAGACCTTTCTTTTCATTCCCTGCTTCATTCTCCCACTCCTTTGCATCTGCAGTCTCCTCTTAACAGTACAGGTCCATGTTGCTTCGTGTGTAGCTCCTAATGTCAGCTCATCGAATGAACTATAGTGAAGTTAAAGGATATCGCCTCGTGCTAAACTACAGCAAAATTCTCAATTGGACTTGCTTTTCTGCAAAATGTGAGCATGTAGACTTTTGCATTAACTCATAGTAAACTTTAATTTGGTTTTGATATTTCAAAAAGATTTAAAATGCAAGTTCAACCATAATTTTTAAAAGCAAAGTAGAACATGGTGGGGGCTCCATTATGAATCCATTCAATGACAAGTTGTATTAGTGACTAGTCATTATAATGTAATGTTAGCTGCAGAGAATTTTGAAGAAAAGTAAAGAAGCTTGCCACCTAGTAATCAAGATGAGAACACACACACACACATACACACACACACATACACACACACACAAACACACACACACACACACATACACGCACATCAAAGAGTGAAGTCCCAAGGGAGCATCCACACAAGGCAATAGCCAAGAAGAGCTGGCATTGACTGAGTGCTGACCGGGCACCAGGCTGTGTGTCCAGTAAACCGTTCATCCGCTGTCGCTCATTTATTGCATATCTTTTCCACCCCGTGAGGCAGGTATGACACTCCTGCCCATATTATAGATGAGGAAGCTGAAGTTCAGAGCACTTAAACCATACAACTATCTGCTCTAAAGCAGAGGCTCCTATTTTCCTCCCAGTGATGTCCCAATCCTAACGTGATTATAGCTCTTCTCAAGTGCAAAAAGGTTCAAAATTAATCTGGAGATAAAATAATTTTCTCTGCAGTTTGTCATGAGAGTAACTAAGCCTTTCTGGTCAGCTGTGGCCAGCTGGGCAGTGATAAGGTAGTAGACATATACAGAGGGCTGAAAAGAGGAGAAGAAACACAGACACACTGAAAAAGAATTATCTCCTCCCTGGTGAAGCATGAGCTCACCAGCCAGGACCCTGGACTGCTGCTGGCCCCAGTTGGTAGCACTGCCTGTAGGGACCCCTCCTGAGAGTGTTGAAAAGTCAGCTTTCCCGTGTGAGAGCAGCTGGGTGGGGAGGGGACATTTTCCATCATAGACTCTACCACGGATTTATTTTTATACCAAAATAAACAAGAAGTCCATCAACCTGGCACACAAAGTTAATGGACCTGCCCCCAGCTGGGGCCCTGTCTGCCTGGGATCTGGCCCCATAAGTGTACAGATTACAGAACGGGCCTCCAAACATAGAAATATCTTTCATCATCATCTCAGGAAGCTCTCAGCTTCTACAGTTTGTTAAACTTCAGTTATTATTTTAAAACAAGGCCAAGTGCCTCTTGGTATATACTTAAAACCTGCAAATTGCTTTTTAATGTCTCACACTTGTAGCTAGCATTGGAAATGTTCAGTTCCTCTACCTTGACCAGCTCAGACGTATCTATCCCCTCACCCTAAACAGGTGGACCGTAACTTGACACACGATTCTCTAAAGAAAGCCACCAAAAATACAGAGAAGATGGAAGCGTGTTTGTTACTTTATTTTCATTGCCAGAAATGACATTGCTAAGCATTAGGGTAAACAGCAAGTTGCCCCAAAGAAACCTCTCTGATTCGGGCCTTGGAGTAATTTGTGTTAGTGTACACACATGCACATGTGTACACACACAAGCACACACACACACACGAACACACAACCTGAGGATGAGTAGACGCTTTTGTGGACTTTTCTGCGAAGAAGAATGCAGCGTTCATCAATTAACACAGTTTCTTGCTCTCTTGACCTTCTGCTGGATCCTGAAACACCTGTGAGAGCCCACCCCGGCGGGTTGGGGAGCCGGGCTCAGGACTCTGACACTAGGAACTATGCGGTCTCCAGCAAATTCTGAATGTCATTGGCCTCAATTATGAATCTCTAAAACAGAGACTGGTATGCCAATTAGGTTTTAAAATATTCAAAAACCTGACCTAATCATTTTAACTCTAGGAGTTAAACCTAAGGAAATATTGCAGGTAGAAAGAGACTCAAATGCCTCGATATTTTAAATCTGTTTTTAATAATAGCAAAAAATGAAAATAAGTTAAATGTCTACCAATATGGAAATGGCTAAAGGAATTATGTTTTATTCTCATAATGGTATAGTAAATCACTATTTAAATGAGTGAAGAATATCTAAGGACATGATGAAATCATCGTGATATAAAATTAAGTTAAAAAACAAGGTATAAAACCATATAACACAGTCTTAATTATGTAATAATATGTGCTCGTTTGAATACGCACATTAGGAGATGCACCTAAGTGGCACTGATGGCCATTTCTGAGGAGGGAGATTATACAGGATCGGTTCTCTTTATCCCTGTTCGCCCTGTCTTCCATAAGGAACTGCATCATCAGAAAACTAAGTGATTTTAAAAATAAAAACAGTGGATTGGTCTAGATTACCTCAAAATTTCTTTACAATATAAACCTCTATTTCATTTATCAACCAATTAAAAACAAATTCAAAAATAACAGGTAGGTCTTGGCATTTGGAGGAAGACCTTCCACTCCTGATCTCCTCCCATGCAGGCCAAAACCACAGGGATTCACGGCCTGGGCTATGAAGGTACTGCAAGCCATTTCAGACATTGAAGCCTGAGCGTCGCCCTTAGAGGCACAGGTGGTTTCCCCTCTAGACCATCTCTTGAGGCTTTTGAGCCCTGCAGCAAGCCGGCGCCCTCACTGAGGCGAGAATCACCAGCGTTTTGCTCTCCCATCTCCCCACACATCACGTATGATTTTTGCCTCAAGGCCACCAGCACGTGGGTATAGCTGAAGTTGCTGCTTCCCTTTCCATAGGAAATATTTCCAAGGTCACTCTCTCCACACTGAAAACCAGGAGGGCGACCCTATGGGTGTCTGCAAGTTCCCAGCCCGGGAGTTTTCACCTCTATTCAGCGGGCGCCTCCTAAGTTCCTAGTTACAGACTTGGAGTTAGTGTTGACGCCTTGTTGTCTCCATAGCCGAAAAACTTCTGGGCTCTGGGCTTCAGCGGTAAAGGAGAATTAAATCCTGCAGGACGGTGGGGCTCCCTGGAGCACGGACCAGCTGCACGTCTACGTCTCAAGGCACAAAATCTGAAGCAATCAAGTCGTTCTTTGACTACCCTGTGCAAGAAAATGCATGATTCACAAGTGTGTGGCCGTGCACGGTACTTTCTCAAACAATTCTACTCAGCTGGAATTGGTTTGTTAGGTAGAATGTCCTTTCATGATTACTTTAGAGCAGGGATGCCCAATCTTTTGGCTTCTCTGGGCCACATTGGAAGAATTGTCTTGGGCCACACGTAAAACACATTAATGAGGACAGGAGTGGCGGCTCACATCTGTAATCCCAGCACTTTGGGAGGCCAAGGCGGGTGTATTGCCTGAGGTCAGGACTTTAAGACCAGCCTGGCTAACATGGTGAAACCCCATCTCTACTAAAAATACAAAAAATTAGCTGGGTATGGTGGCAGGCGCCTGTAGTCCCGGCTACTCGGGCAGCTGAGGCAGGAGAATCACTTGAACCTGGGAGGCGGAGGTTGCCGTGAGCCGAGATTGCGCCACTGCACTCCATCCAGCCTGGACAACAAGAACATGACTTCATCTCAAAAAAAAAAAAGGAAGAAAAATACGCCAATGATAGCTGATGAGCTAAAAAAAAAAATGCAAAAAAATCTCATAAAGTTTTAAGAAAGTTTACGAATTTGTTTTGGGCCACATTCAAAGCCATCCTGGGCCGCATGCACCTATGGGCTGTGGGAAGCCATCCTGGGCCACATGCACCTATGGGCTGTGGGCTGGACAAGCTTGTTTTAGAGGATCACTTTGCTTTTCTGTCTGGACACAGAAGTGAGAAGTGGGAACTTCCAAATGTGACCCAAAGCTTCGTGTTCCCAGTGCCCGGTCACGGAGTCGCAGACACCTGATTCTGTGGAATATCACTTTGTTTTTACCCTAGAGAGAATGAGTAGAATCATCGCGCAAGCAAGTGCCTTCAAAATGAACCTGTCTATCTCATTGCCCTTGGGCTAACCCGTACCAAAGCCATCGCTAACTAGAAAGCAAGGGTCTCTATTTTAGGGGCCATCTCAGGAGAATCCCAGATTTGCGCAGAGTTTGTCCATCATCGCACTCAGGAAACTTTTTCATATACTCAACTTAAACCTCTCAGAAGAGTTTGTCAGTTTCTTCCATTCTCATTCAAGGTGAAAACAGCTAATCACTGTCTCCATCATCGTCATCATCACGGGTACTGTTAGCACCGCTAATGCCACTGCTGCCACCTGAGGTGCCTAGGACAGTAGCTGCTTTGCTTCAACCCTCTCCCTGAGTCCTCACAGCAAACATAAGAGGGTGTATTTCCACCTTTTGATGATAAGGCTCAGAAAGACGAAATGTGTGTCCACAGGACAGCTCGTTGTCACACACAGGACAGCTCATTGTCACACACAGGACAGCTTGTTGTCACAGAGCCAAAATGTCAGCCAGGTCTCCCAGACTTTCCACAGGGCCCTGTTGCTGCATCATCTACTTTTGTATGATTAAAAACTTTCTTAATTTTCAGTAGGTGAATTTTTTTAACCTCTCATCCTGTTTCCTAACCCAGAACTCCATACCTCTTAGAAATGGTCGCTGATACCTGTTTGACCACTAGGAAAAGGGAGAACTGGACTGGTATTTTCTGCCGAGTTCAGGTCTGCCCTTCTAAGATATTTAGGTTTGAGCTGGGAAGGGAAGAAGTGTTCACTTTAAAGCTTGGGGAATAATGTCAGCCCCCAAATCTCTTAGGGACGGGCCTGTCTGGTTGGGAGGGACCTAAAGAGACTTCCCTTGGAGCTATGTTTGTTTGCAGAGTGCGCAGAGTTTTTACTCAGATGATACATTTATTTGGGGTTGGCTTGGGGGAAAGTGGGACCTGTGAAGGCTGGGTGGAGTAGCTAAAGATATGACCACCACCACCCCCAGCCACCTGTGACTCTACTGCTCCTGAGTGATAGTGGTAACAGTCATTTCTGGTGGAATGCCACCGAGGCATTCTCTGATAGCCCCAGGGTTGTGTAAAAGCTCTGGGTGCTGAGGAGTGGTGAGCAGCTGCTGGGGTGCATAATGGGAAGCAGGAAGGGATGGGATGCTAGGAGGCAGGTGAGCCGCAGATGGAATCAGGGTTTCCTGAGACCTGGCCTGGGATACCAGGGAGATCTGAGCAGCACCCATCACAGGAGGAGGAGGAGGAGGAGGAAGAGGAAGAGGAGGAAGAAGAGGAGGAAAAGGAGGAGGAGGAGGAAGAGGAAGAGGAGGAAGAAGAGGAGGAAAAGGAGGAGGAGGAGGAGGAGGAAGAGGAGGAAAAGGAGGAGGAGGTGAAGGAAGAGGAGGAAAAGGAGGAGGTGGGAAGGGGAGGGGGAGGGGCTGTGCTTCCCCAGGCTCTATTTCCACTGAGGGATCCCATCCTTTTTAACTCATAACCCAGGCTTTGGTCTGTGGGTCACAGTGGATCCGAAGATAAATGGGCTTTTTGAATGTTTTATTTCCAATCTCCGATACCCGAATCATCCCTGATCCAAAGCACGGTGTGCATTTCAGTTCTCAGCCCAGGCAATGGGTCTACTCTGCTTACTCCTGAGATCTTATCTAGTTCAGAGATTGTGGCTTCTGGTCAAAGTAACCTTACACAAACAAACAACAAAACACAAGTGGACCCGTTAAGAGTGATTGTAAGATGTCAGTTTCTCTGTCTCATTTTCCCCGGTGTGGAGGTTTCTTTTATAGCCTGTTTAGAAAATCTCGCTTCTTCCTTTGAACGGCCCCTTCATTTCTTCAGGCAGGCCTGAGTGTTCTTGGACACAGAAGGTGGTCAGAACAAAGATGCTAACACTTCCCTGGTTCTCTTTCCCTGCTCACAGTTGCTTCAGCAACAGGAATTGTGCAATCTCGATGTAAGTCGCAGCATGTAAAACACTCCTATTCTTTAGCGGGTGGCACATTGCCCTGTTAATGGAAAGCAAAGGAAATAACAACCAGGCAGAAGGAAAATGCCCACCCACAGGCAGTAAACCAGCCCCGTCACACCCTTCACTCTTTTGCTTTTGATTATCATTTGTTTCTTCATTTGGTAAATATTTACTGAAACCTACCAGGTTAAAAAGTATTATGCCAAAAACTGGGAAAGAAAAAGAAAGAAAGGGGAGAGGGAGGGAAAGAGGAAGGCAAAAGAGGGGAGAAACTCACGCAAAGTTTTTGTCCGTAAAGAGGCTGCAGTCAAGTTAGCAAAGTTACATACGCAGAGACGTGAGAGTCATTCCGATGAAATGTTCCCGGAAGCCTGGCTTTAGAGGTGAGACGAGGTTTCGTAAGACATTTCACTTGGACTTCAGACCCTGGGCAGATGGGAGAGATATATTCTAGGCTGAGGAAACAGCATGAGTAACGTCTTCGAACAGAAATTGCAGCTGTAATTGCATGGAAAAGACTGGAGAGAGGGAAAGTTGAGAAATGATGGAGGGTGTTTAGCAACAAGCCCAGGAATCAGACCGTCTTCTGCCATTGAGTGTTGACAAACAGGGAAGTGGCATCATCACATGTGGGCTTCTGGTGGAGGGGAGCGACAGCCCTCCACAAGGAGTTTCGGGACTTGAGGTGGAGTCAGGTGAGCCAGCCTGGAGACTGTCGCTGTATCCGGGACAAAGAACAGGAGGCAGAACTAGGGCAGTGGCAGCGGAAACTAAGAGGAGGAGAAAACGCTTAAAACAATGCACAGAAATCACACCATCACAGCCGCCCGAGGCACACACAGCTTAGAGGTTAGTTACACAGAGGTCCAGGGAGATGGAGACAGACAGAGACATTTAGGAGTGTCCACATGAAGCCAGTAACTGGACACTCCTAGATGTCTCTGATATTTGTCAAACTGAATACAGTTCCCAAAGATCTTGTGGCAGTGAAGGAAAGTGAGCCATGAACAGTGCTCTGTTTTGGAGCATCTCCGTTTGAGAAATGGCTGAAGACAGAAGATGAGCCTGAGGATGATTTAGAAAGTCAGAGCTGAGAAGGGAAACCCAGAAGAGTCTCACATCAGAGAAACCTACGGAACACAGTTTTCAAAGCCAGAATCTGAGTGACAATGTGGAGAGCTACAGAAAGGAAAGAAAACAAAAGACCAAGGTGAGGAAAGGCTCCATGAGCTACAGGAGGCAGCGGGGACAGAAGCCAGGCAATAGGGACGAGGAGTGGCCTGGTGGGTGGTGGATCATAAACAACCTCTCGTGAGAAACTGGGATAATAGAAGGAGAGGCTAGAAGAGTGTTCATGACGGGCCAGGTGCGGTGGCTCAAGCCTGTAATCCCAGCACTTTGGGAGGCCAAGGCGGGTGGATCACTATGTCAAGAGATTGAGACCATCCTGGTCAACATGGTGAAACCCTGTCTCTACTAAAAATACAAAAAATTAGCTGGGCATGGTGGTGCTTGCCTGTAATCCCAGCTACTCAGGAGGCTGAGGCAGGAGAATGGCCTGAACCCAGGAGGTGGAGGTTGCGGTGAGCTGAGATCGCGCCATTGCACTCCAGCCTGGGTAACAAGAGCCAAACTCCATCTCAAAAAAAAAAAAAAGAGTGTTCATGAAGAGATTAGAAAAGGGTTTTTGTTTTTTTTTTTTCTGGGTGACATTCAACCATGTTTCTCTGCAAGGAGGAGAGTCTGAGAAATGTGCCCTAGGCCCGCGCAGGTTCTGTTCCAAGCACCTCCAAACGGCACACACGCTTCCCTCCGTGCACCCTCGGGTGGGAACAGTGGCCACAGGTCAGCGCTTCTCTTCCCTGCTGGACCATTTGTTCACCACAGGCACAAATCTGCTCTGTCTTGTTCACCATCTGACACTTAGAAGAGGCTCAAACCTGGTCATTGGCTGGGGACTCAAGACAGAGCAAGGAGCATTCCCATGACAAAGCTTCCAGAACAAGAAGGAAAGTTAGGCAGAGAGCAGACGGGGCTCAGCCAGGGGAAACAGAGGCCAGCTGAAGCCAGTGGGCTTGTGAGAAGGAGGGCTCCCTGCCTGGCACCAGGGCCGCGGTCCCTTGTTGAAGTGCACACGGAGGCAGGGTCTGGGAATGCCCATTCCCACCTTGTTGCCTTGCAAGCATGCCCTGTGCCATTCTGGGCACTGCCCTCAGCAAGAGACTAGCTCTCAGCCACCCTCACAGCTCAGCATGGCATGGACGTGCTGATCAAGTTATGGCCAGAGGGACAAGAAGAAGTGCTGCGTAGACTTCAACTGGCAGGGGCAGGTCTTTTTTCCTTTCCTCCTCCTCCCTGCAGCCTGGGACTCAGACAAGAGGCCCAGGCTCCTGCAGCCACCTTTGGCTATGAAGTAATCTTGAGACGCAGACACGCACAGCAAACTTTCGCACAAACGCCGGAGAAGCCTGGTTTCTCGCTGACTTCACAGAGCCCATGTGGCTCTATGCTTCTTCATAGTGGCCTCTTTGCTTCCTTCCAGACTTCTTCTGACAGGAGAGAAATTAAACACCTGTCTTGCCTGAGCCAGTATTATGTTGAATTTTCTGTCACATGCAGCCAAACTTAATCTTTACATTAATGCTAAAATATGAATGAAACTGCTGGAGAAGCTGCCTTGCCAGGCTCCCTGGTGGGCGCCATCACATCCGGTGCCTGGTTTCTCAAACGTCCCTGCACCCACCAACAGAAAGCAAGAACTAGGTACCGTATCTGGCATTCTGTAAGCGCTGGTGGTTGTGGAATCCAGTGTCTCTGGTGTATTTTAAGTTGCCATTCAAAAATAAAGCACTCAGGTAATATAAGCGAATTTTGATAAAATCACATTGCAACAATTCCTATTTGGGTCGATAGAGCTCTTTCTTTAAAAAGGCTGAATTTTATTTCCTCCTATAGAATTGAAGTTTCTACTTTCCATTTGTGATGAGCTGAATTTTCAGGTTGATGAATAAGTCACTGAGATTTACCACACAGGACTTAATAATAATAATAATAATAAAAAGCTTGGGTTTCAGTGGTGGTTTTTTGGGCATGGGCCATTGTTTTATGGAGAAAGCTTCGTAGCTTGGCTCGCACTGATGTCTTGCTGCCGCTTGCATGTGTGTTCCGTCCTGGACGCTGGGCTCCTTCATAGCTTCTCCTGCCAACAAGCAAGACAGAAAGGAGGCAGCAGATGGGGGACTCGGCCTTCCTTCCCACCACACCTACCCTTTGCTGAGCCACTGCTCCCAGGATGAGGCACAGAATCCCCAGAGCAGCCTGGGTTCAACCTCCTCATTTGTTTTTGTTTGTTTATTTGTTTGTTTTGTTTAAAAAAAAAAAGCCTTCTGGCAGAGCATGGGGGCTCATGCCTGTAATCCCAACATTTCGGGAGGCTGAAGAGGGTGGATTGCTTCAGCCCAGGAAGGCGTTTCAGACCAGCCTAGGCAGCATGGTGAAACCCTGTCTCTATAAAAGAAATACAAAAGTGATCCAGGCATGTTGGCACAGGCCTGTAACCCCCACTGCTCCGAAGCCTGAGCTGGGAGAATCATCTGTGCCTGGGAGTTCGATGCGGCAGCCAAAATCATGCCGCTGGACTCCAGCCAGGGCAAGAGAGCAAGATCTGTCTCAAAAAAAGAAAAGAATTTTCTTAATTTTCATATCATCCCTAGTTTTCCTTTGCGGCCCATGAGTTTCCATCCAGACTGTAAGCCTTCATAACTGTCATGGTGAGATCCAAGTGTAAGCCCTCAGCTACTGTCTCATTCTTCCCCACTCACTTACAGATGACATTCTTGCAGACCAGACAAGCAAGGCTACTTGCCCAAGGCCACACAGGCAGGAACCGCCAGGCAGCCTGTCCAGTGTCCCAGCCAAGCCCCCTAGAAGGTTCCTATGCGCTCGGTACATCCCTGGCCAGCTATTACCTATGTAGTTTATCCAGTGGTTACACCGACTTGAAGAGGTCTTTCTGGAGATGACATTGACTTTGAAATGACTTGCATTATCCATTGATCAGCTCTGGTCATTGTGATTCTTTTCAAGCCATACATAATTTTGGGGTTTGCTGTGGCTTGCTGACCAGCATCTCTGTTTAAGAGACGGAGCTTTGTGCTAGAGTTTCCAGTATTGATGCATTTCCTAGGCACACCCACTTCTCTGGTAGAAAGCTAGGAGTCCCTCACCTAGATGATCCTTGTGAAGATAAACACTTCTCTTCATCTGTGTTGTGACAAGCGAAGCCTTCACAAGATGTTCTACTAACTAGTTCAAGCCACGAATTTTATCCTCTGCACTGAATGAGTTTGTGTGGTTGTTACATAGATTATCGCATGCCTATAATAAACAGATTGTGGAAAACACTGCTAAAAAGTTTCAGTGAGAACCAGGCGCAGTGGCTCACACTTGTTATCCCAGTGCTTTGGGAGGCTGAGGAAGGAGGATCACTTGAGCCCAGGAGTTTGAGGCTGCAGTGAGCTGTGATTGTGCCACTGTACTCCAGCCGGGGTAACAGTGAGACCCTGTCTCAAAAAAAAACAGAAAAAGTTTTATCAAGAGAGAGGGTTCTGGATGGTCACAAAAAAGCAGTTTAATTCCTTTACTCTTCCAAGCAACTTATTTGATTCTTCAAACATGTAGAGGCCAAAAAAGCACTGTTTCTTTATGGTAAAAAATGGGCCCAAAAAATATGATTTTACTTTTCTGTTCTCAAAAATCATTGACTAATGAGAAACAGCAAACGCTGGGTCTCCTGGAGTCCCAGGCACCAGGCACTGCATGTTTTTCACCTGTGTGGCATTTTCATTCTCATCTTATGCCTTTGAAAGCTGGGGCTCCGAGCAGCTGTGACGTTGACCCCGAGGTCACTCATATTGCAAATGACAGAGCCAGGGTGTGAACCCAGACAGGTCAACCTCAGAATGTGTGTCTCTGACTCTTCAGGTTGACAGCCTTCTCCAGACACCAGAGCAGCACTAAACCATCAATTGGGCTGTGCGGGCCCCTGTGTGGAATAGAAGGGGCTGAGGGATTCTGCTGCCACATCCATAATTATCACTGGAACCGAGTCAGACTGACCCTGAAGCTTGTTCCCTGACCATTGACTCCCAACCTTGGGCTGTCTTCTAAAGGAAGGGTTAAAGAGTACGTGGTGCCACCTCCTAAAACAGGCAGCCTAGGAACTTGGACCTACACACTCAGCATCGACCTCTGTGGCTACCTCTGTGATCCAGACGGCCGCTTGGGGACAGCAGAGGCTCAGGGGCAGTGAAAGGCAGTGCCAGGGCCGGAGATGAAAGAGCCAATTCTCCATTCTTCTGTGAGTCCCGAGGTGAACACTGTGGACTTGTTCCCAGTCTCTGCGTCTGGTGCCAGCGGCCCTCCCCTCCCCCATCTGAGGACAAGTCCACTCCCGGAGGATTTTCCCCTAGAAACGGGTCCTCATGTGCAGGGGAGAATCAGAGATTATTTGCTTGAGGTGGCAAAAAAAAAAAAAAAATACGGACACATCTCCAGCCAACCGTTTTTATAGATGTATTTTTGCTTTTTACAAACCAGACAGCAGAGTTTCATAGTTAGTACAGTAGTTCGGGGTTTTTTTCTCATCATTAACCTCTTAGTTACTACCAATGTGTTTTTAACTCACGGGGAGAAGTACCAGCATACCATAAAAACCTGAGTTCTACCTAGTCAAGGCTTCCAAGGCCCAGGAGGCGCGCTCTATCAAGCTGCTGATTCGGGAGATGGCAGTGAGTCGGGGTTCCTCCGCGCCCCCAGAATGCTATTCACAGCAGCTTTGTCATTGACAGTTCTCCCTTTTGGAGATTTGAAACAAACTTCCAATCACTCCCGATCCTTTTAGCTTTACCTCTCTTAGGTAAGGTTTAAGGATTCTTGGTCAAATTTCAACTCAAATAGGTTACCTAGGAACATTCTTAGGACCTAACCTACTTAGTTCTTGTAGTTTCAGCTGAAAGCGATAGGCTGTTCCGGGCCCTTTGTGTTCCTCTGTTCGGTGGTGAAATCACTGCTCTCTCTCCCTCCTTGGAGCGCCCACTGCTTCCCACCAATGAGTTCAGTAGTTTTTCTTGCCCATTTCTGCAAATCTGTGTTCATAAAATCAGCCTATAGGTACAAGTTATTGAAGAAATTGCTAACAGTTTCAAGGCTTTGCTTAAATTGATAGTTTGTTTTACTTTATTCTGGTTCTCGGTGGAAACACAAGGCAAGAATGATCTTTGGAATGTTCTGTTGACAAATGAACCCAAACAAGATAGAGATGAGACTCACTGTCTTTCCTCCGGAACAATCGCCATTCATTTCTGTGCTGCTGAAACAGTCACAGGAGTCGTGATAGATCCAGAAAGAGGCCCTTGGCGCTTCATGTGGTATCTGTCTCTAGGACGGGTCTCTTTTGCATTCAGCGGGTTTCATTAGAAAAAAGAATCTCAAAGTATTTAATTAACAAAATTGAGAAAATGCATATTTAAACGTTGACATCATTATAAAAGAGTAATTTTTTACATAAACATAGAATTTTCACCTATGTTACTTCATTTAATCTTCAGAACTAATCTTCTTGATTTTTTTGAGACAGAGTTTCACTCTTGTTACCCAGGCTGGAGT